ATTACCTGCCATGTTTGCACAAGCACCATATTTACCTGCCATATTTGCACTGACATTGTTATCATTGACATTGTTCTTCTGCAGAAAGTGTAGAAGTTGTGTTTACTGTTCTTGAGTGAACATTTGAGGAGATATGCTTGAGCCACTCCCCTACCAAGTACCTCCCTCTGCACAGGTTGTAGCAGGTACTGCATTATGGTGAAATTGTGATCCAATTCCTTCTACAAACTGTGATCCAACTCCTTCAACTTGCACTGCATTTGCTCTTCGTTTCCCTTTGAACTTAGAGGGATATCCCACAATTTTGTAACAAGTTTTCCTTACATGTCTTGTCTTATTACAGAAGTCAAATTTTATCAATTTGTAACATTGCTCTTTTGTGTGCCCTTTTAGGTGACAATGATCACATTGTAAGTTGTAATTTTTCTTTGATTTTTGACTGGACTGTGCAATGAACATTGCTGTGGGATCTATAGTATTATAGAAATTATCTTTCTACTCTCTGCTTGAACTACCATGGCATATGCTTGGTTAATGCTAGGCACATTTGGCATCATCAATATCTGCCCTCTAGCTTGCTCGTATGTGTCATTCAAGCCCATTAAAAATTGCAACAAACACTGAAATTCAATTTGTTCCATATAATCCTTTGCAGGTGGTGGTGGCAGTATAGAATCATATTCTGCCCATAGATCTTTAAGCTTGGTGAAATAAGTAGAGACTAATAAAGTACCTTGAGTTAATATGAAGATCTCTTTATGCAAGCAGTACAGCCGTGAGGCATTCACCTTGTCAAAGCGTTCTCTGAGCTCTGCTCAAATGGTCTGGGCATTTGACGAGAAAAGGACTCCAGTCACAAGGTCCTTGCTAACATTACTCATTAACCAGGAAGCCACTATTGCATCGCATCGATCCCATTACTTAGCCAAATCTGTACCAAAATCACTCTTGCTCGTTGTGCCGTCCACGAGACACAATTTGTTTTTGCCTAACAATGCAATTTTCATCGCCCTACACCAAAGTGTATAGTTCTCCATTCCTGTCAGCAAGAGGCCCACACTCATAGAACCCAGTCCATCGAAAGAGTACAGATATAGTGGATGACTATGGTCGAGAGCTACCACACCACCAGCTCCATCACTAGAAGTGCCGCTGTTGAATTCTCTAGAATCGTCATAATCGATGAAGTTATAAGTGCAAATTGACCATAATTTGCGTAATTTTAGCTCGATTTCTGCAGAAATCACCGAAATTAGGGTTCTGAGATATCAAACAAATGTTGATCAACAGATGAAAAACAGAAGAAATTGTGCAAATTCTCTCAATTTCCCTTTCAATTGCACGAGAAAATCCTATTGCACAAGAAACAGCTCTGATACCATGTCAAATTCTGTGATTACAGGTGCGGGGAGAAGAGAGAACCCATGCGAGAAAAGAAGGAATTGGAAATTTTCAGAAAGCATTTCATTACTGACAAAACTAATACAAAGTAAGTGTTATCTCTGTTTTTATACAACTTAACTAACTTGTAACTCTAGTTCTAACTAATAACTAACTCTAGTTACAAATATGCTAACTACAATTAAGTTATTACTTCCTTTACAATTGGAAATTGGTTAAGACATAAAGATGTATATTTGGAGATTTGACGTTAACGATCAGACAACGATCTTTCTTGATGAAGATGAGAAAATTTTACCACCTAAAAAAGTTTTGTTAAGGTCAGGAGCTCAGAATAATTTTATTAGTTTCAAAAGGCTTGGTTGCATTTATAGTTGTGAGTTGTGACAACGTGTGGTGTAGCTACAAGCTTCCACATTTTGCATGGGAAAGGAAAACGAGGGAATGACCAAGAATCAAAATTAATCATCCATCGAAAATATTTAAAGTAAATGTAAATGAAACCAAGTTAGAATTTCCATATATGTGATTGTAATTTCCCTTATACTACTTTAAGTGTACGGTTCAGAATCTCCAAAATGTTGTTGTAACCCAAACGCATGACACATAGTGTCCGATTTGGTCCCAATAAACCTCATAAATTTGTTATTAGAGATATGTCATATCGAGCTAAAAAATGCGTGTGTACCCTAAGTATGAAGTATCATATGTACTCTTTCTCTGATGAATCGTGTTAGGCTTGAAGTGTTTCGATACTATATTTTTTCTTTTATCACGAGCACAGATACCCTCTTATTTTCTTCCTTTTTATAATATTGGCGCACCTCCCCTAAAATTAAAATTGAAAAGAAAATGCTGAAAATAGTTAAGAAAATAGTTAACGTTTAATTAGAAAAGCCATCAAGAGAATCAACTAGAAAGAGTGTAACCAAAATTTGTTAATGGCAGATACAAAAGTAAGAGCATAATTTGACTATTGTTTCAAAATTCAAGAGAGGACAAACAGTTAAATTTCGTTGTTTTTTCCAAAAATATTTTTTTTAAAAGAGGTTACCTCTTCATTGGATTAATCAGAGGAGAAATGAACTAATTTTTAAATGAGAAATGAACTATTTCTGGCTTCTATGAACACATAACTATGGATTCGTCATGTGCCCGACATGTGCCAATTATTACAGCCCTTTTAAAATATCATTTCTTCCATTAAAGGCTAATAGTTGGAGACTAATAAATAATTCCTATTTTGTTAAATATTAGTATTAATTATTATTGGTTGTTCTTTTACCTAGTGTTTGGCGTGCATGTTGCTAATTAATTAATAGTTCATCCATCAGTAAACTACTTTAGCACAAAAAGCATCGAAAAGCCAGCTTGATCGATCTTAATGCGACCAGTTTAGCTTGGAGTTAATTTATATACACTAATATTTTTACACAATTAAGTTACTTCAAAGTTAAATGCATACATTATATTCTATAGTAAGTCCGGATAGATAACTTGAATAAGACGATACATAACATGCTACAATCAGTTGAACTACTATATATAATTTCATAAAATAAAATATTATCGTAAATAACTTAATCCTGTATTTAATTAATTTAAAGTTAGACCACAAACTAGTTAACCCATAAAGGTTTAGTAAGCATTCAGTAGTGAAGAAAAAATATTCTTACAAATATATACATGTCCCTTACGCAAGAATAACACGCACAAATATAAAATAATCCTGAATTTCCTTTAAATAAAAGAGGAGAAAGTTAGCATTCTATAGAGAGGAAATATGCCAATTATTTCTACTATTTTGTTATTGTTAATTTTTGCACATGAATTGGAATAGCAGTTAATATTGGTTAGTTGGAATTGGACTAGATTTTAATATTTGGACACAACTTTTGGAGAAAATGATGTCTAAGTCTAACCAAGAAAGCTGTGGAGTAATGGACTTTTTCTTTAATCTTGAGTAATCTAGGACCAAATTAACCAGATCTTGTTAAAAGAAAAATTCTATTCACTAAATCAAAGTGAATTGAAAAAAAAAAAAACATTATCATCTAAAATTACAATATAACTATGATAAATCTTACTAAAAAAACTGCGTACGGGTAAATTTTTACCCTTCATCTATGTCAAGTACCAGGGACTAAATAGAGTCATTTGCAAGAATACAAATCAAATTCATTTTACGTTTGGACTTGTTACTTTACAGTTTGTTTGGATGGTTGTTACCAATTGTATCGTAATGTTACATTAAATATAATATTTGTTTTGATTGTTATTTAAATTTTATTGTATCGTATTGTTAAATCTATCGTTTCGTAACGACGAAAGTGTCACTTTATGAAAACGACGGATCGATTGTTTCCTTGCTTTTTTTCTCTCATGTTGCCCTTCCTTACTATTAAATAATCATATTTTATCATTTAACCTACTTTTTAATATAATAATTCTACTCCGTATTCTATTTTTTCTTAATAATATTGCAAGTTTATTCTTCATATTGTTAGTGCGTGACATCATGAAACGACGGCAAACAATACAATTTATCCAAACATTGTATTCATCAAACAATACAATACAATACGATACATTAGGAAACGACATGTAACAACAATTCAAATAACAAACTATACTTAACAAGTAAAGCGAAAATAGAATATGATTTAAAAGGGAAAATTACTAGACTGGGAATTGATATCATCTAAATAAAGAACTGAAACACAAAGTTCAAAATTACTATGAAAATCACGGGGAGATAAAGATAATAACGAGTAAAACCTTAATTAGGTAACAAGATTTAATTAAAGCTCGCAATTCATATAATGAAAATCATTTTGAGGACGTTTAAATTCAACTTTATCTTGTTTCTATTTAGGTATTTCAAAATTTTCAATTTTCTACATAGTTACTCACGAGCAACTGGTAATACAGTTAAATTAGGACTATGAACAGGTACAAAAAAATTAAAATATGCCTCAATAAAATAAAGTTTTATTAAATAATAAATATGACATGTCCCAGCCACTTAGAGAGTTGCTGCATGGCAATCATCAAGTCAAATTCTACCAAATCTGTCACTTTCTATTTATTTTCCAGCAAATCTAGGACAGAGAGGTCCTTTTTTTTTTTATCCCAAATAGGTGAGTAGGACAAAAAAATAAAAAAATAAAGAAATTTTGTTATTATACACATCCAATGTAGAAAATATTTACTTAGACTACAACAAAGTTAATTATGGGTAACAATATAAAGTTTGATAAGAGTAGTAATATATTATGATCAATTAAATTAAATTGAGAGTGTAAAAAATTACTATTAAACTATTAATTGCATTTTTATTCCGAAAAAATATTGCAAATTTGCTACTAACGGTTCAGGCTTAAAATCAACCCTGGATATTGAGTTGTCTTTTATTCTAAGTGGGACTTTTCAACGTAAATTCAAATTAATCGGACCTTAAAGGGAAATATACATATCGGCTGAAATTAAAAAAAATCAGTCTTAACTATTTGCATATGCAAAAATATAAATCAGTCCAAGTATTTTTTTTTTATACTAAATTTTTATTACTATTATTTTAATTTTTTATGAGTAGTTGAAAGTTGGGGACTTTTTGGTGCGATATGGAGGGGTTGTCTTCTTCTTCCTCTCTTCTCACATCTTAAATAGGAATAGAAGAAAACATGCATATATAAATATTTGAATGTTTTCTTTTTGTATTTTATTGATATATATACATACATAAGCCAAATTAGCTTGGTGAAATTTGCTTCGCGATCTGTAAGTTAATTTAGTTTGTTCAATAAATTTTCGTTTTTTCCCCTATTAGTCTGATTCTTTAAATTGAAGCAACAATTTCCCCATTTTTTTTGTTTTTTTTTCCTTCCGGGTATCTTAAGAAAACCCTAGATCTTGTTGTATCTTTGTTTTCTTGGATTAAATTCAAAAGGGGTTTTTTGGATCTCAACATTTGGGTTTTTTTTTAATCTAATTGGGATTTGAATTAGAGAAATTTGTTGGGGTTAGGGTTAGGGTTAGGGTTAGGGTTAAGGGGAGTAAATGGCTTCAAATCCTCCATTTATGGTGGAGGATCAAACAGATGAAGATTTCTTTGATAAATTGGTGAATGATGATGATGACGACATTGATTTTAAGGTAACTGCATCGGTGTCGGTTGATGGGAATGAATCTGATGAGGCTAAAGCATTTGCTAATCTTAGTATCAGTGATGATGTTAATGATAATGCTGGATTGGAAAATCTAGGTGGAGTTAAAAAGGAAGGAACTTGGGATGATAAAATAGTTGATAGTGATGTTAAACCGCCTTTGGTGATAAAGGGAGGGGATGGAGAGAAGAGTAGTGGCTCCTTACTGTCATTGACTTCGGGCGGATTAGATAGTTTGCTCGAGTCAAGCAATGGTGATTTGGAGACTGAGGTAACTACTGATTTGTCGGAAAGTCATACTAGTGGATCCGTTAATCCTGATGTAAAGGAGGAGGAGGAAAATCACACTAGTGGATCCGCCAATCCTGGTGTAAAGGAGGTTGACTGGAGTGTGTTTTATTCTAATCCAGCTACAGATGGTGATACAGAGGTTTTTGGATCTTACTCTGACTTTTTCAGTGAATTGGGGAATAATAATACTGGAGTTGTTATTGGAAACACAGGGGAGAATCAAAATGTGGGGTCAAATGTTGTATCAGCTGATCAAGTTAATGATTCCGCGAATTTTGACAGTTCTAGTTCGTACATGCAGCAGAATCAAGATGGTTTTGGCTATAATGCGACTACGGAACAAGTTGCAGGCGGGGAAGATCAAAATAACAGTCAATATTGGGAGAATCTTTATCCAGGATGGAAATTTGATGTAAATACTGGGCAGTGGTATCAGGTCTCTAGTGATGACTCAACAGCCAATGTACAAGATAATTCTGCTGCTGACTGGACTGTTTCTGATGGAAAGTCAGAAGTCTCTTACTTACAGCAAGCTTCTCAGTCTGTTGCTGGGACTGTAGCCGAGAGCGGGACCACTGAAAGTGTCAATAATTGGAATCAGGTTCACCAGGTAAGTGATGCGACTGAGAATGCAGCGAATTGGAACCACCAAGTTTCTCAGGCAAGTGATGCGAGCGGGGTAGTGACAGGCTGGAATCAGGTGTCTCAGTCGCGTGATGAAGGTGGGATTACGACTGAGTGGAATCAAGCTTCAGAAGTAAACAATGGATACCCTTCGCATATGGTTTTTGATCCTCAATACCCCGGTTGGTACTATGATACCATTGCCATGGAGTGGCGCTCTCTCGACACATATACTTCATCTAGTCAATCAACTATTCAAGGTGAGAGCCAGCTGAATCAGAATGGTTGGGTATCATCTGAAGATTTTTCTCCCAATCACGATCAAAGTATTTATGGTGCATATGGGCAGAATGAGAATAGTAGATCCATAGGATTTGGCAGTGGAGGGCATGATTACAATGGGTCTTTTGGTAAATACAATCAGCAAAACTCAAATGTGTGGCAAACCGAAAATGTTGCCAAGAGTGAGCCTGTGTCAGAATATAGGGGGAACCAGCCATTGGAGAATCACTACAGCCAAGAGATTTCTGCTAGCAGCCATGTTAGTCCGCAAATGTCTAATCAGTATGAGGGAACAATTTCATACCATGGGAAATCAAATCAAACTCAAGGTAATTTCTCAGCAACGGCTGGGTCACAGGGCTTTAATCAGCAATTTAGTCAGCCGACAATGCAGCAAAACGAGCAGAAGCATCTTTCAAGTGATTATTACGGAAGTCAAAACACAGTCAATTATTCCCCACAAGCATTTCAGAACACCCAGCAATATCCTTATGCTCCTACCGCAGGAAGATCATCTGCTGGTCGTCCTCCTCATGCTTTGGTCACCTTTGGTTTTGGTGGAAAGTTGATCGTGATGAAAGATAATAGCTCTTATGATAGCTCATCCTTTGGCAGCCAGGTTAGACTCGAACTTATATTTCTCCTTTCTTTTCACTATTTTTGAAGTGCAAAACTCTTACTAATTGCTGAAAGTGTTTGTGCGTGCTCTATGAAGAATCCCGTTGGAGGTTCAATATCTGTGCTTAACTTGATGGATGTGATGTCAGAGAGAATCGACAGTTCAAGCCTTGCAACTGGGGCATGTGACTATATCCAAACTCTCTGCCGAAATCCATTCCCTGGTCCTTTGGTTGGTGGAAATGCTGGTATTAAGGAGTTGAATAAATGGATTGACGAGAGGATTGCAAACCCTTTATTCCCTGACGTGGATTTCAGGAAAGGGGAAGTTTTGAGGTTGCTTCTGTCATTGCTGAAAATAGCATGTCAATACTATGGGAAACTTCGATCCCCATTTGGTACTGATACTTTGTTGAAGGTAAAGTGGAAATGAATTTTTCTCATAACATGCCTGTAATTAGTTATAAACGCTGTCATGCTTTATTTATCAAACTATCAACCTAAAAAAGGAATTGTACATACTAGCAGCATGTTAATGTGTAAGTCCTGTCCCGGAAGTAATGAAGGCGTTCGGTGGGACCGTAAAGAAAGTTCCTGAGAAATATTCCACCTGCCACAATTTGGAACCCACCTTGACACACACACAGTCTAAAAGTAATATGTTTGTATGGATTATTATATCGAGTTTAAAATAATAACTTGAAATATGAAAAGTAGAGAAGTTGGTAATGTTACATGAAATTTGAAATACATAAAGTAGTACATAGTTTTTGTTAGTTTGAAATGTGCCATTTCAGGAAAGAGGTCAACACTTTGGACATATTAAAACAGAAAGTCGGCAAACAAATGCGGAACAAGAGAGTAATAACAAAGAAATATTTCTTTAGGCCTTCAGCTCTACTCTTTGAGCAAAATTGTGAAGCAGGCTGCATATGTGCTGGGAAAGAAGAGCTTAGGGGACAAATTGTTGCGAGACAAAGCGTATCTTGCAAAGTATAATGATTTGCACTAATTTGCGATGCAAGATGCAAGAGAACTTTACTTTTTCTAGTTTGTGTCTACTTTGATGATTAGGTGAAAGCAAACTTTAGGAATAGAGGACTTCGTTTTGTTAACCTATGCTCTATTTGGTGATTTCCACTGCTGGAAGATGTGACACCTCATTTGATCTAAATCTTTTCTCATTCTTTGTTTCTGCAGCCATGTCTTAATATTATGGAACTTACAGTTTCAACTTACCAGTTTCTATTGCTAAATTGGTTTGGTAATTTGAGCAGGAAGATGCTCCAGAAACAGCAGTTGCCAAATTGTTTGCATCTCTGAAGAGGAATGGTACACAATTTAGCCAATATGGTACTGTTTCCCAGTGCTTGCAGCAATTGCCTTCTGAAGGACAGTTGCGGGTAATTCTTTTATATCTTTATTTCCTAGTTGCTAAGTTGATTATTTGCTTGATCAGCTAATATTTTTGGACATGCTTTAGACTACTGCTGCTGAAGTTCAAAGTCTTCTAGTTTCTGGAAGAAAGAAAGAAGCATTGCAATGTGCACAAGAGGGTCAGTTATGGGGTCCAGCTCTTGTTCTCGCTGCACAACTTGGTGATCAGGTTTGTCCGGTTCTCCACACTCCAGCCTCTTCATGTTATTCCTCTTTGTACTAATGCATTATCGTTTTACGAACAATTGTAGTTTTATGTCGAAACTGTGAAGCAAATGGCACTCCGACAATTAACAGCAGGATCACCTTTGCGGACACTCTGCCTGCTAATTGCAGGTCAACCAGCTGATGTCTTTAATCCAGAATCTACAGCTCCAAGTGGCATGCCCATTGCAGCAAATGTCGCTCAACAGCCTGCTCAGGTGTGTCTTTATAGCTCTATTACAGCTATTATTTTCTTGGCTTGCTGGCTTTACCTTTCAGCTTCAACATATTTTTACATGATTTTCCTGAGCCCCTGGAATGGGATCCTAGTAAGATACATACTTTTTAGTAGGTTGGGATCCTGGTAAATATATATATTCAAGTATCTCGCTTTAACTAGATTCTACTCCAAAATCAGTACAATTACAGAATAAAGAGGCATACAGTTATTTGACTTTTTAAAGTTGAAAACAATGTTTTAAAAGGCGGGGCGTGAGGCGAGGCATTTTACCTCTGACGAGGCGAGGCGTAAGCCCTGAGACATGGGGCGTAAGTCCCACGGATCTTTAAATTTTACTGATTTCAAGAATTTTAAGATAGTATGAAATAAAAAATAATAATAAAATAATATTAAAATCACAAAATTATAACAAATAATCTATTTAAAATATTTATAAATTATAATTCAACTATGAATAATACGAAAGTATGACATATATCATAATGTGCAAATTAGCTGCAACGTCGTTACAACTCAAACATCAAAAAAGTAATGTATTCGATACGAAATCTTATATGTATCTCTTAAGGAGTCATGAATCGTGAAAGAATTTCGATATTATAATTTGATATTTTTCTTAAAATACTCCTTTTATTTAATATGCTTTCTATTTGAAAGAGAATTTATATAAAAACATAATTCATAATTTAAATATGATTCTCTAGCATCATTTATTATTAAGTTTCAACAAGTAAATAAAGTGACACATATTTTACCATACAATATCATGATAACTAATTATTTGTAAATAGTTACTAGCTAATACTGAGCTATTAAATTAATAAGTATTATATCTCGTAAACGTTAAAAAATAAATATTTAGAAAAATAATTATAAAAAATTATGGACTATTATATAGTAAAGACATAACAAAAGTTAATAAATAAATACCTTTTAAATGAAAGATTTATTTAAAATTAACAATCATAGCAGTCTTAGTGGATATCGTGCAATAATTTTTATTTTAATTATGACATAAAATACTCTCAACTTAATGATTTATGATTAAGAAAAAAGTAATTTTGAATAGTCAACGATTTATAAGCAAATTTGAGAATTTACAAGGTTAGTTACATAGAATTGCATAATGTTCTATTAGGCGAGCCCAGAACACTGGGCGTTGGCCGTGTCCGGGGCGTAAGGAACCACAAGTATGTGTTTTGACTTATCAAGAGTTCCACTCTTTTGAGGTTAAACAGTTATTTACCTCCTTTTTGAGGATAGGGCGTTTTTGTCAGAGGTGTAAAACTATTTGCATAACCCTTACATTTCTGTAGTAAAATACAGACATATGCAGATCACTTTTTTCTTCTTCGGCATTTTGTGAAAATATTCTATTTTTGTTATTTCCCTTTAGTTTATTAATCTATTAAAGATTTAGTGAATACTTTGCTGGGAATATTAGCTTGTTTGATTATTCTTCTATTTATCTTAGTTTGGTGCTAATGTCATGCTTGACGATTGGGAGGAGAATTTGGCTGTGATCACTGCAAATAGAACAAAGGATGATGAATTGGTGCTTGTTCATCTTGGTGATTGTTTGTGGAAAGAGAGAAGTGATGTATGTATTCTGCTTCATATTCATATTCTCATTCTTTAGAATATCTCCTATGCTGTGTCTGTATGCTTCATACTCTAATATTGTGATTCAGATTGTTGCTGCACACATTTGTTATCTGGTGGCAGAAGCAAACATTGAACCATATTCAGACAGTGCAAGATTGTGTCTTGTTGGCGCTGATCACTGGAAATTCCCCCGAACTTATGCTAGTCCAGAGGCTATTCAGGTCCTATTAAGTTGCCTTTCATAAAGAAGAAAAATGAAACATTCTTTTGCTGCTTCTATCTGTTTGCTCTGTGCTACTGCCATTAGTGGAGTAATGCAAGTGAATATGCTGACTGATGAAATACTGTGTTGACAGAGGACTGAGATATATGAATACTCGAAGGTGCTTGGAAACTCTCAATTTATTCTTCCTCCTTTTCAACCTTACAAGCTTGTATATGCACACATGTTAGCTGAAGTTGGGAGAACGCCAGATGCATTGAAGTATGTATCCAAGATTTTACTTCTACTATAAATTTTTTGGAAATCCTTACTGCTGGTGGCTTATCATTTCTAATTTTTAGGTACTGTCAAGCGTTGTCTAAATCGCTTAAAACTGGCCGAACTCCTGAGATAGAAACATTGAGACAATTAGTGTCATCTCTTGAAGAAAGGATCAAAACACACCAAGAGGTAGCCCTTGATACACTTACCTTTGTAATATGATGGTCCACAGATAATTATAGTGGGAACTTTCTGCATGCAGGGAGGGTTTGCCACAAATTTGGCTCCTGCAAAGTTGGTTGGTAAATTGCTTAACCTTTTTGATAGCACTGCTCACCGTGTGGTTGGGGGCTTACCACCGCCGGTTCCTTCAACAACAAGCGGCAGTCCACAAGGGAATGAACATCATTATCAGTCTGCGGGACCTCGAGTCTCAAATAGTCAATCGACAATGGCGATGTCATCTTTGATGCCTTCAGCATCCATGGAGAAAATAAGTGAATGGGCAGCTGACAACAATAGAATGACGATGCACAATAGAAGTGTTTCAGAGCCCGACTTTGGAAGAACTCCTAGACAGGTATGTAATGGTATTACCCTGTGGCTAATTGGGCTTGATCTGTCTGGTCTTAAAAAAAGATGAATTTTTTGTTCAATTTGTATAGGATCATGTCGACTCATCAAAGGAAGCAAGCTCAAGTAACACACCAGGTAATTCATCAGCAGCTGCAGGTAGATCACGCTTTGGTCGCTTTAGTTTTGGCTCTCAGCTTCTCCAAAAAACGGTTGGATTAGTCCTTAAACCCCGACAAGGCCGTCAGGTACATTATTTCTTTATGAGGTTTTGCTCTGTTATTTTCTACATTGTGATCCTCTGGATTTGTGTTTCACACTTATTTCCATTTGTTATGATCCATTTTAGGCCAAACTGGGTGAAACAAATAAATTTTATTATGATGAAAAACTTAAAAGATGGGTTGAAGAAGGTGCTGCGCCTCCTGCTGAGGAACCAGCTCTTGCACCACCACCAACCACTGCTGCTTTCCAGAGCGGGGCACCCGATTATAACTTGAATAGTGTACTAAAAAGTGAAGGTTCTATTAGCAACGGAAGTCCAGACATGAAGAGTCCACCTTCTGCTGATAATGGTTCAGGAATCCCACCACTTCCACCGACCACTAACCAATTCTCAGCACGCAGTCGGATGGCTGTTCGGTCAAGGCAAGTGATATTGGCGTGTTCCTTTATAGAAGTATATCGGATGATTCAATGTTTCAGTAGGATATATGACCATTGGAACATACTATTGTTGAAGTAATAACAAGGGGCCAGCTGATTGTTTTTGGTGGCTTAGGTTAACTGTGAGTCTGCTCTTTGGTTACCATGGTGTTCGGATCCTGGATACACCTTTATCCTGTTAAAATGACGCACTTTGACTGCACGAAGAATAAAGTATTTTGCTTTAATAGATTATTAATATTAAATTAGAAAAAGAACATGATTAAAATTTAGTTTGGACTTAAAAAAAGTAAGTTGCTTTGTGAAGAGTTGTCAATGTAAATTGTTGGAGGGAGACAGCTTTGTCATGGAAGGAAAGAAGTAAGGATTTTGGGACGAACTGACAAGGAATTGTTCTGATCAGAAGGAGTATAGAGTGTCTACTTGGACTAATTACTTGATGATGTCCTTCCTGGTAGATCAAAATTATAAAATACATAATTCGATTTAACAAGGAGCAGACAAAGCGCTTCCTTCTCAAAAAAAGCAGCAGACAAAGCTTTATAATCTTTTTGGTTTTACATCTGAAGATATATGTTAGGTTTTTGCAGCTATCTGTTCCTAAAAATGATGAGGAAACTATTAGTTTAAATGTTTTGCATCCAGCTTCTTTATTTCATTGACTGTGTAATTGGTTTTAATCTACAAATATGGACATAGGCGATGAAAGCTAGTATTTCTAGGAGGTCAAAGTGCATATAGTGTTTCCTGCTGTGACTCAACTAGAGAAAGCTGACCTACTATTCTCATCCCTCTTTTGGCAGGTATGTCGACACATTCAATAAAGGTGGAGGTAATCCAACAAATCTTTTCCAATCGCCTTCTGTTCCTTCCATGAAACCTGCTACTGGAAATGCAAAGTTCTTTGTTCCTACGCCAATGTCCCCTGTTGAACAAACAGTTGATAGTCATTTCAATGAGCAAGAGACTTCAGGAAATAGTGAGAATAATTCAATCTCTGCTGTGAATGGGTCATTCCAGTCTCCTGCACCTCCATCAACCATGCCTATGCAGAGATTTCCAAGCATGGACAGCATCTCTAACAAGGGGGTAACTACTGGACCTAGCCCCCTGTCAAGTCAGTCACGGAGAACTGCATCATGGAGCGGAGGCATTTCTGATGCTTTCACCCCAAATAAATCTGAAGTAAAACCACTTGGTGAGGTATTGGGTATGCCTCCATCATCATTCATGCCTAGTGATGCTAATTTGGCGCACTCCTCGATGAATGGTGGTAGATTTGGTGAAGATCTACATGAAGTAGAACTGTGACACAATAAAGATGTACATATTAATTTTTGGTTGTTGTCTTGGTTCTCTCCACTCTCGGGGCACAATGCTGCTCAAGATCGTCGGCCATCTGTTGGTAAGGGGTTTAAGTGTGGTCAAAGGAAGCTGGAACACACTTCTCACCAACACTTCAATTACTTCTCCTTTTTGTAAAAGATCAGTTATGTGTTGAAAGCCATTACATAGCTGTTTACTTTTAGGCGTAGGTCGTATTTTTGTCTTTTCTGTTTCTGTTTTCGCCTCTCCAAAAGGTTCAATACCTGCTGTTTGAGAGTCTTGTCATAATATATTACAAGGAAAATGGCATGAGATATATTGTATAGTTGATTTGTTCATATAGAGAAGGGAATGTCCATTCTATTAGTTTAAATAGGAAGACCATCCCTGCGGGAGAAAGTGTAGCAAAGAAGAATGTTATAACTCCATTTCCAGTATTGATTGGACAAATAAAATGCCTTGGACTTCTTCTCCCAGTGGACACTAGCATGTCTCCATTCCTGATTACTTTCGTTATCATTATCACATTTTTGTTAAAATGAAATATCAGTGCTTTTATAGTTCTCTTTTTTCCTTCTTTTTTTCCTGTTTGGATAAACGTACATTATTTCACCGGGTAGGGGTAAGGTCTGTGTACATTATCCTTACCCGACTCCATTTGTTCTTAAACCGGGTTTGTTGTTAGGATAAAAAAGCAGTACTTGTCGGTGGAAGGGTGTTCGAACCCTCCATCAAAATACTAATATACCTCTAATTTGAAAAAGTCTACTAAAGCTTACAATCTAATGATACTGGGAAAATGCGGCCTGAATTTTCACTTTCCCCTTCCCCTCTCCTGATATCTTATGTAATACTGTAGAAGAATACTTTCAAACAATCATACAATATTGGTGTAACAGAATCCGACAGATTGAACAGATTTAAAGTCTCATCTCCTAGATTTAAAAATACGAGAATAAGTAGCGACTACTTTTAATATTAATTATCCAGAGAGTTTGCTTCCTAAGTTCATGTATTTATGTACGACAATGTTAATTCTCGGAATTTCACTTACTGCATATGATCACTAACTTACGAATTCTGTTAGGAGATAAATATAGCACCACAGTTACATTTGTGTCGATGAATTGAAGGCACAATTAGCATCTAGGTCAACTAATTCATTACAACCTTTTCTGGAGTGCAAAACAATTAAACGACCAAAGGCAAAACCCTATAGTTTTAACCCCCCCCCCCCCCCTCAATTTCTCCAAATTAAACAGCATAATAAAGGTGTCATGTTACTATTAGAGGAAAGCTTCTACCCAATGGAATCCTGATAGACATCACAAAACTGCATCCCCAAGGGAAGAAAAACTGCTAAACTATCATCCAAGAGAAGAAAGAAATCCATAATCTGCAGAACCTTGTCTGTTGGCTTAAGAGAAGATTTAACTCTCTATAATTGCCAGCATTATGAAAATTATATCACTCATCATTTGATGAAAAGCTTCTCAAAGCATCTTCTATTGAAGGAACCGAAAAGTTGGCAATTATACCATGATATTCAGTATTTCCTAATCTCATGCCAAAGCTCAAACTTCACTAGTGTAGATAAAGATATAATTTAACCCCAAATAAGAACACCCCGATTCAATTGTTTTTACAGCATAAACAGTACCATAGTCAGAATCTCTCTTGATCTTTCTACATCTCCAAACATAACCAGACGGATTCATCGTAGTGAACGAGGATACCACCAACTTGCATCCTGAAAATTATGAAGTGCTAATTTAATTAAATGCATCTAAGTAAAGAAAAGCTACAAAACCTTGTATAAGAATCAATCATCTGCCAACCTATCCAACATTTTCTCCATTCCAAATATTGACTTTCAGAACCTCCGTAAATATACCCTTAAAAGAACACATTTTATGACGAGAAGGGCACAGCCACCTAAAAATGGCAGAGCCAATGCTTTAGGTGAAATAAAATGAAACTCAGTGCTCTCAGCTTGTCAAAAGGGTAAGACAACTCACCACAAAAAAACTCCAATCTACCCAATTAGTATCGGTTATAGGCTTTCCCATAATCATCACGCCTCTGACGCTGAAAGTCACCATAACTGTCTTGTGGCCTTGACGGATGGTAGTTATCCATAGGGTTTGGATACCTTCCCCTTGGTTCCATTGGTATGTTGGGTCCTGAATAATGTGGATTACCTGCTGAGTTCTCATACTCCTGATAACTCTGTTGATTGTAACTGCCAAACCCAGAGGCTGACACATGCTGTCCTGCCAGCTGTTGCCTCCTCAGGGCATCAAGTTGAAGAAACTCCTCCCATTGCTTTGCATGTTCAACTCTAAGGATGGCCAATTTCTTCATGTAGTTCTCTCTTACTTCTCTGATGGCCTAACATTTGATAAACCAAAACAAGATTGTGACTGGAAAATGATTTAGCACATCAGCACTATGGCTTCGGGGAACGCCTTTCTTCAAAGCGAAATTTGAAATAAAATAATAATCCAAAAATGGAAAAAAGAAAAGAAAAGATCAAATTTTAGGTACTTCATAATACCTCTCTATGCTTCTGATTTTCTTCATCTTCTTCCTTATCCCGAATTCTTCCTAGATCTATAGCATCCTTTTGGTAGTCCAATTCAAGATTCTCTAAGGATTGTGGAATGGAGGGGTAGTCAAAGTTACGGTTAGATTTCATGTCAGAACCATGTCTACCAGCATCCCAACCATCAGACCTGTAAATGCCCCTGCCCTGACCATGACCATCATATGAATAATACGAGTTACTCATGTAAGCGGGGCGTGCCGGAGACTTTGACTGGCTTGATCGACCTCTAGCTCCATCATTACCATAAGCTTCATCAAATGAAGAGTGGGTTAAGCACTTCCATTGAAGAACTCTAACAATGATGGCAGCTTTAACATGGCAAAGTATCTTAAAATCTCATAGTGAACCCATCTGAAGCAAACGAGTCTCTACATACTTTCAGTGAAAATTCAATGGGGGATAATCCTTTCATTTGTGACCACCAGGAATGTTACATCAGAATCGAACAGAATGCTTGAAAAGAACTTACCTCTTGCTGCCACAAAAAGAAAAAGATAAGCAACGCACATTATGAATGAAATTAAATCAACATCAGAACAAGCCTGTGAAGTCCATACTCAAAAAACTTAACTGCCAAAGTTACATGTAGAAGGGAACAATAAGAATCCAAAATGAGGCTAAAAGTCTAATTGTGCTCTACATGTCGAAGAGAAAGACTCTTTGGTTTCCTACCTTGTGAACTACCCCTTGCAATTTTGTGAAAACCATCATGACCGCGATCATCAACAACCTTCTCTTGTCTTCCATACCTATGGTGTAACTGTGATGCATTCTGAGGGCTGTGATTGGATCTCTGAGAATCAGAACGTACACGAGAGCTAACAGGACTTCTGCGCTCAGGTGACCTTGATCTGGACGCCTGAGAACTAGAAGGACCCTTTTTGTCTGCCTCTTCTTTAATTTTATGTACAGCATCCACTCCTTTCCTTAGGATCAATCTGTCCTTCCCACTAACTATAATAAACTTCTCCTCCATTTTGATTTTGCAGCCAACATCCTTCTCAATTTGATTTATAACTTTCTCAGTGAACAAAGCTTTCACATGGCTTTCCCTTGCAGGCACTCTCTCAAAGAAATCTTGAGACTTGCGATTCGCTCCAAGAGTAGATGGACATCCCTATACATAGTTTGTTTAGCAAACAACATAAACTTTGACATTTGCATAAGCTCTTCTGTGGGTCTCTGAGAAAAAACTTTTGACAAGTACGGAAGGCACACACCCTTTTGTTTTTTGTATAGGCAGCCTATTTTATAATAGTTAAACAGTATTCATATGCTCTTCTGTTTTCATCCAAAATCTTATGGACAGGATTCCTGGTTGGCTGATAGAAACGGCATGCAGAAAAACTTGTCATAAAACAAAAGGATTACAGGGATTATCAAAGGGGTTATCCCGGTCAACGCATGAACAGAGGTTAACAAATTTTGCTTTAGTTATACCTTTAGTCAGAAGGATCATAAGCAAAAAAATTGTCAGATGATGTCTACTGCTCTTTCATCCCTCAGTTTAAGTTACCAAGCTAACAGTATATGCAAGAAAGATACGTCATGGGATTTTTAATTTTCCTACTTATCCAAGCCACCCAAAAAAGGATTTTTAAATTCATAAGTTAGATGGGGGGAAAGGCAAAAAGCAAAAAATGAGTGAAATGCGCCAGTTTACATGATGCCAGCTGGCCCAGTATATCTACAAACAAAAGGAGCTCTTTGTCTACAAACATCTGATAACTGTGGTTAACTTGACAGAAAAGTAAAATGAAATCGATTGCCTTTCACCAGAAAAGAAAGGAGATATAGTAAGGAGCAAAACTGTGATAACAAAAGAAACCAACTAGTTCTCACTTCTCTCACCAATTATTCTCAGGAAAAGAGATGCATTAACATCCTACAGAGAAAGGGTGAGGAACATAGGAAATTATAGATTGAATGGACTGACTAAATGTAGATATTTACAGTTATCAGTCATGTTATCCTTAAGATCTCTCACCCTCCTAAGCCACCCAAGATAGTAGTAACAAGAACACTAATAAGAACCATAATACAAAGCAGTACCTGGGTAAAGTGGCCTGACTCTCCACATATTTTACAAATCAATTCTTCCTCCTTCCTTTTCTTCCAGTTTCTCTCAGTAGCTTTAGATTTAGCTTCCCAAACCTTTGCTTCCCTGCTAGTAAAGTCCGTCGGAACAGCATTGGGGTCGGGGGCGTCCTCTTCCTCATCGGAACCAGCATGAGACCTTTTGTTTGTCACTGTTATCTCTTGTGGCTTAGTTGTGTTGGATCTAATGGGGCCAGTATATTCCTTGTAAAGATCACTGAAATCATCATCAATATCTGAATCTTGCCTGCTAGACATATCAAAGAGCACCCTGTTTTGGCAACAGTCAACAGAACAACGAAAGTCAGAAAACGTTGTTACTAACACAGTCAAGAACAAATTACAACAAACATAATTCACTTCAAGAGTCTATGGTAAGATGTCCAATATCAATATTGCAACCTTAAGGATGTTGTTTTGTACAATAAGTGGCCTTCTTTTTATAGATAAGGGATATCATTGAGAAAAGGCGATTAATCCATATAGAAGTTGCATATCAAAGAACCTTAAAGATTTCCGTTCCAATATAAAGATTCTAGCCAGTCTTATTCAGTAAGAATGCCTAGTGAGTTCCATATGGACATAAAACCCATCAAATTCCTAGAGATCTCTCTCTCTCTCTCTCTCTCTCTCTCTCTCTCTCTCTCTCTCTCTCTCTCTCTCTCTCCCTCCCTCCATGATTTCTTGAGGGAGAACGCTTTTCCATTTCTCTTCCTCTCAGCTCCATGACCATTACATAGCCCGTAGACCAAGCATAAACCTAGCAAATCAGGGTGTTGGACATGAGATTATATTGGCACTAGGAACATTGGGGAACTGAGACATAGGCGGTAGACCAATCTGTTTCACTTGAAAATTGAACTCGGACTACTTTGCCATTTTTAAAACAATAATTGAGATAGGCTAGTAACCTTTCTCAAATAAAAGTGAAAGCCTTGTGGGCAGAGTTATCCAATAGCAGATACCGGTGGAATAATGAAGGTGCGCGCAAGCAGGCCCAGACACAACCATTATTTTCGGAAGAAAAAACATCACACACAAAAAAATGGAGTGCAACCTTTTTTCCAACAATTGGCAGACTTTTGTAGATTGAATTTCAACACCCTACCTTAACTGTATTCCATCAAAATACAACTTTAGTCAAATGCTTAAGGAAGTGTACAAATAGCATAAAGAGACAAATTAGTATTTCAACATTAACAAAATACTGTAAATAACAAGGAAGCAAACTGAAAGACTACCTGAATTTACCAGTCAAAAATTTCACCAATTGATTTGATAAACGGATTAAATATGGATTTTTGAAGAAAGCTAAAGGCTAAGCACTACTTACCGGAATCGGGAGACGGGCTAGGGTTTTCTGTGAATGTGAGAGGTAGGGTAGTGTAGGAGCGGCGTTAATACGAGGGGGATTTGGGGGTTGAAAAAATATATGAGGGGATTTTGGGAAAAGAAGGAAAAATGTTACTCCAGCTGAGCGTATCACTTGGTTATCTCTGACCGTAGATCTTTTTGATCTTACGGTCCTCCTTTCGTGCTTGTTTCCTATACAATCCTTTTTTTTTTCATCCCAAACCTTTTCTTCGGTGTTAATATTTGGTCCCTCTCTTTCTTTCTTTTGATTTTTAATTTTTGGCCCCTTTCAAAGGCGTGTCGGTTGCCTACATTTGGGCAATTAAGGACATGTACGATGGGCTAGGACTCGGGTTAGGACAGTAAGAGGCCACTCTAAGCAATTTCTGGTTGTTATGGGGTTACACCAAGGTTCTGCGCTTAGCCCGTTCTTATTTGCCCTGGTGATGGACGCGTTAACACACCATATTCAAGGGGAGGTGCCATGGTATATGTTATTCGCCGATGACATAGTTCTGATTGATGAGTCGAGAACCAGTGTTAACGAAAGGTTGGAGGTCTGAAGACAGGCTCTTGAGTCTAAGGGTTTCAAGCTAAGCCAGACGAAGACGGAATACCTGGAGTGTAAGTTCAGCACTAAGATGAGGGAAGTGGGCGTGGAAGCGAGGCTTGAATCACAGGTCATCCCAAGTAGTGGCACTTTCAAGTTCCTTGGTTCGTTTATCCAGTGGAGGAGAGATCGACGAGGATGTCACACACCATATTGGGGTGGGTGGATAAAGTGGAGGTTTGCATACGGAGTCCTATGTGACAAGAGAGCGCCACCGATGCTTAAAGGCAAGTTTTACAAACGGTGGTTAGATCGGCCATGATGTATGGGGCTGAGTGCAGGCATGTTAAGAACTCACATATTTAGAAGATAAAAGTAGCAGAAATGAGGATGTTGAGGTGGATGTGCGAGCACACTAGGATGGATAAAATTAGGGATGAAGATATTCGGGTGAAGGCGGGCGTGGCTCATATTGATGACAAGATGCTTGAAGCGAGGCTCAGATTGTTTGGACACGTACAAAGGAGAAGCCCAGATGCTCCGGTAAGAAGGTGTGAGCAACTGGCTTTGGAGGGCACGATAAGAGGTAGAGGACGGCCTAAGAAGTATTGGGGAGAGGTGATCAGGCAAGACATGGCGAGGCTTCCGATTTCCAAGGATATGGCCCTTGATAAGAAGCTGTGGAGGTCAAGTATAAGGTTGTAGGTTAGGAGGTAGTTGAGTATTTCCTTACTTCGTACCTTTGTGAGGCTAGTCTGGTAAGATTTTTGTCGAAGTCAGTTAGTGGCAATGTCGCGTCTGTTAGTTAACTGTATTTGTAAAATAATTCTGGAAATATAAATGAATATAAACAGAGATGAACATAAACAGAAATGAGCAATGAAATAATAGAAAACCAATTTGAGCCCACTGAATTCACAGTGTTTCCTTAAGGAATTTAATCCCCTCCTAGTACCCAATGTTATGGATTATTTCCTCCCAGGATAGAACGAATTACACACTGGTGTAGTGGTACTTCAAACCCCAGCGTTTCAGCGAACACAAAGTTCGGTAGCAAATCACACTTACTTTTTGCTTTGTTTGATGCTAAAAGTATGCAGAAGAAGGAGAAGAAACTCAGAAAATCGTAGTGAAATTCTGAGCAGAATAGTGTTGTATTTATAGCCAAAGTTGGGCTGAAATCTGAAGAGGTGCAACTCTTCAGAATGGCTGTTTATGCAAAACGCCCACAGCATAAATGACATTACATAAATGGCCATTTACTTAACAATTACCAAAATAGAAAAACGGATTGGATTTAATATTAATATTCTGTTATTAAAACAAATATTTAATAATATTTCTGTTAATATTTTACTATTAACAAATAAATTTGGTCCAAAAAGTTAATCAATCAATCGATCATTTGACCAAATCCAAATCCAAATCCAAATCCGAATCCGAATCCGAATCCGAATCCGAAGCCGTAGCCGAAGCCGAAGCTGAAGCCGAGCCGAGCGAGCGACGACGACGACGGCGCGAGGCTTGCCTTCTTCTCAACTCTTTAAGAGCTAGAAGAAGAGCAATTGCTTATATACCCATAAAAAACCTCTTCCTCTTCCAATATTGGACAATGCCCATTTGCCAAGGGGGGGAACTTAAAATTTCACTCAAAAATTTTATTTCCCTCCATTTCCCATTCACCCTCTTTTAAGTATTTAATATATTAATTAAATACATCCAAAACCCAACAATCCCCCACATGAATGGGGAATGGCTATATCACGGAAGTATGCATGAAAAACTGTGTGATTCGCAAGTAAGGATTAATTGCATCTGGATAAGTAGGTTTCCCTTTGAACTTTCCGTAGTGAACTTATGTCGGATATACTCGATCAATCGGTAGATTTGATATCTTTGAACCGTCGAACTTTAGTGTATACCTAGACAACCACAAGTCACACAACCAACCCTTAACCGTCTTTGGTTCTCATTGTTGTGTTCGTTTCAGCCATGAACACCGCATGGTTTCATAAGTGCGTAGAGAACTGGCCTTACAATGTTCTCCTTGAAGCGGCTAACACTTCACACTTACATAGGTGATTCCTAAACGTGTCATCCCGTAGACACACTATTTGATATACCCCGTATCAAATTTAGAAATCATTAAAAAGCCTTAATGCTTTATCCTTGGTACTGAACATTGTCTCATCACGAGAATGGACCAAAAGTTTATTTGACAATGTTGAACCGTCATAAATGACTTTGTTTGAACTCCTTGAACCTAGATCTTGGGATCTCCAGTCTTCTAGGTAGAGTTACCGCCACTATGACTTCTCGGCCACAGTCCCATTCCCCTTGATGACTTCTCAACTACCTCTCTAGCTAGGCCTTTTGTAAGTGGATCCGACACATTATCACTTGACTTTACATAGTCAATCGTGATAATTCCTCTAGAGAGTAATTGTCTAACTGTTTTATGTCTTCGTCGTATATGGCGAGACTTACCGTTATACATAACGCTCCCAGCCCTTCCAATTGCTGCTTGACTATCACAATGTATGCATATTGGTGCCAACGGTTTGGGCCAAAATGGAATATCTTCCAAGAAATTTCGGAGCCATTCATCTTCTTTACCGGCTTTATCCAAGGCTATGAACTCAGCCTCAATTGTAGAGCGGGCAATACAAGTTTGTTTGGATGACTTCCAAGATACCGCTCCTCCACCAATAGTGAATACATATCCACTTGTGGACTTGGAATCAGTTGATCCGGTGATCCAATTTGCATCACAGTATCCCTCAATGACCGCAGGATATTTATTGTAGTGCAAAGCAAAGTCCTGGGTATGTACTAAATACCCCAAAACTCGTTTCATGGCCATCCAATGAGATTGGCCTGGATTGCTCGTATATCGACTCAATTTACTTATAGCACAAGCTATATCTGGTCGTGTACAATTCATGATGTACATTAAGCAACCCAACACACGAGCATAATCCAATTGTGATATGCTCTGGCCTTTGTTCTTTGCTAATGCAAGATTCACATCAATTGGAGTCTTTGCAACTTTAAAGCCCAAGTGCTTGAATTTTTCAAGTACTGTCTTAATATAATGAGATTGTGACAATGCTAGACCTTGAGAAGTCTTGTGGATCTTAATTCCCAGAATTAAATCAGCAACTCCCAAGTCTTTCATATCAAACTTGCTAGTTAGCATACGCTTAGTAGCATTTATGTTGGCAATGTCATTACTCATTATGAGCATATCATCCACATATAAGCAAACAATGACTATGTGATTTGGAACATTTTTAATGTACACACATTTATCACATTCATTTATCTTAAATCCATTTGACAACATTGTTTGGTCAAATTTAGCATGCCATTGTTTGGGTGCTTGTTTTAATCCGTAAAGGGACTTAACAAGTCTACAGACCTTCTTTTCTTTACCTGGAACCACAAACCCTTCAGGTTGTTCTATGTAGATTTCTTCCTCAACTCTCCATTTAAGAAGGCCGTCTTAACATCCATTTGATGAATTTCAAGATCATAAACTGCAGCTAACGCTACTAACGTTCGTATGGACGTAATTCTTGTAATTAGAGAGTATGTATCAAAATAGTCAAGACCTTCTCGTTGTCTATACCCTTTGACCACAAGTCTTGCCTTATACTTGTCAATAGTGCCATCATCTTTCATTTTCCTCTTAAAGATCCATTTAGAACCCAACGGTTTATTTCCAGTAGGAAGATCAACCAATTCCCATGTATGGTTGTTCAGTATGGATTCTATTTCACTATTGACTGCCTCTTTCCATAACAATGATTCCGAAGAAGACATAGCTTTTTTAAATATTTGAGGCTCATTTTCCAATAAGAAGGTCACAAAATCTGGTCCAAATGAAGTAGACGTTCTTTGACGTTTACTACGTCTTGGATCCTCCTGGTTAAGTGTACTTTCTTTTGTTTCTTTCCGAGGTCGTTTAGATCCTTCACCAATCGACTCACATTCCTTTTTATACGGATATATATTTTCAAAGAACTCAGCTTTATCTGATTCTATAACCGTATTATTATGAATGTCGGAATTTTCTGATTTATGAACCAGAAATCGATATGCTTTACTATTAGTCGCATATCCTATAAAAACACAATCAACGGTTTTCGGTCCTATTTTTACCCTTTTGGGTTTAGGAACTTGCACTTTTGCCAAACACCCCCACACTTTAAAATAATTCAAGTTGGGCTCCCTTCCTTTCCATTTTTCATATGGAATGGATTGTGTTTTGCTATGGGGTACTCGATCTAGTATACGGCTAGCCGTAAGAACGGCTTCCCCCCACAAGTTCTGTGGCAAACCAGAACTTATCAATAATGCGTTCATCATCTCCTTTAATGAACGATTCTTTCTTTCTGCAATGCCATTGGATTGGGGCGTGTAAGGGGCCGTTGTTTGATGAATAATTCCATATTCTAAACATATTTGTTCAAAAGGAGATTCATATTCACCACCCCTATCACTTCTTATCATTTTGATTTTCTTATTAAGTTG